GACAGGCCACGTGATTCTTCAGGCACAAGTCCTAGAGTCTGACAACATTTGCAGCCAAATCCTGGGGGCTCGATCCTACCATTTGCTTCCCAGAGACAAATGTAAGGAACTTCGTGCTACACGATGTGATACGTGACATGGGATGTAGGCTCCTCTGACTGAAGCTGCAGCGTCCCAGAAACAGGGAAAGAAGGAAAGTATTCCAATAAGACCGTACATGACAGGGATTTCGTTTGGGAGAAAGTGAGCCTACCTCGCTGTGCAAACTGACACCTCAAAAGCACTGAAAGGCAACATTTCTTTGTATCTCATTCCTCTGTCCCTGTAGACTCACTGAGGTCTCACTACCGTAAAAGCTGCCCCTCAGACATCTCGTAGCCAGGAAGCCATGCAGTTAGCATGGGGCAGAAAGGGTGTTCTGCTCCAGGCTGCCCTGCCCAGCAGATTGTGGTCATGAGCCCCAGAGGCAGATAGGCCAGGGCCCCGAGGCTCACTGGCAGTTTTATGTTTCGGACATACTTAAAAAATAAATGCTCTTCAGGGCACCCAGCTGGCTCAGTCTGTGGAGCATGCGACTCTTGATCTCAGGGTTGTGAGTTCAGGCCCCACGTTGGGTATATTTAAAAAGGGGGGGGGCAGTGAAGGACTTAATACTGTGAGCAGGCCTTTCTAGGACATTCCATGGGTTCTTGATGCCTCATCCCCAGACACCCAAGTGGCCCAGGGGAACTAATGGAAAGGGCTGATATTGCAAAGGACAAACAGACACAAAAGAGCTAACTGACAAATTATCCGGTGGCATTGGTGCAGAGATCTCTCACGAAATGGAAGAGGCATCAAATCAAAGGATGACCCCTCTGGTGGTTGAATTTGCTGAATTCTGCCGTCACTACACAGTAGTGAAGTCTCCAGAGAGCTGACAGACTTCTAAAGCTAGGAGACTGTTCACACGATTCAAACTCTGCCTCCAGGTATCTTGCCAAAATAGACAGCCAAGGAGTATGCAAAGGGCAAGTCCACAAAAACAGAACAGGATTGGGAAAGGGCTTCAGAATGAATTAACAATAAGTACATTTCATTAAAACTAAAAAAAGAAAAGAAAAACACTCTCCAGGAAACACAAAAGCTTATACAAAAGCATCAAAGTAGTCACAACATACCACGCAGCTCAGCTCTGAATAACACTTGCATGTCATAATAACGTGACCCTATAGTTGGTCAGCCATCCATGCCATTCACCAAATATTCCTGGACTCCTGCCTCTGCGGCCCATGAAAGCCTGCTCTTCTGGTTCTCTTGCCTTTGGGGGAGACCACGTGGCAACTTCTGGTCACAGGACAGACCTCCCTTCAGTTCCCTCCGAGTTGGCCACTGGCAGGGTTTGAGATGTGGCCACCCCGCTGGGTCCCCGACCTGGTTGTGATGAAGCAGAGCCGTCCCATCAGCCTGTGAGGGACATGTTGCATGAGGAGACATACACCTCGGTTGTTTGAAGCTGCTGAGGTTCCAAAGCTGTTACTCCTGCCTCTCTAGACCGACCCACAACAATTTTAACCATTCTGGGAGAAGGGGTTTGGCAGAGACCACTGGTGGTCCTTCAGTATATCTTTACTTCATTTGGGTTTTAGCTGGCATATGGCTACCAGTTTAATAGGTTTCAGAACCTTCTTTGTGGCCAACTGTGGCCACGTGGCTGAGATGTGCACGTGAACTTTTGGTTCTCAAAAGTTGTGTGTGCCCCTCCTGCCCCTCATGTTTTGGGGGGGCGGAGCTGACACATGAGGGTGATGAGCCCCCCTAAGGCCTCTGGGGAAAGCCCCTCCCCCCCAAGGGGCGAGGAAGGAACCTGGGTCTGGGCCACCTCTGGAGCAAGGCCACTCAAGTTCCCGAGTGCCTTCGGCTCACGTTTTCACTTGGGAGGTGTTGTTGTCTCAATATGTCCCCGCCAGATTCATATGTTGAAATCCTAACCCCTGAAGGAGATGGTAAGTAATAGGGTGAGGCCTTTGGAAGGTGCTCAGGCCATGAGGGTGCAGGCTCCAGAGAGCTCCACAGCCCCGTCCACCATGTGAGGACAGAGCGGGAGGTCTCCAGCTAAGACACAGAAAGAGAGCTCTCACCGCACCATGCTGGCGCCACGATCTCCAACCTCCAGCCTCCAGTGCCGTGAGCAATAAGCTCCTGCTGTCTATGAGATTCCCAGTCTGTGGTACTCCTTTAGAGCAGCCCGCAGGGACTAAGACGAGAGAGAGAGAAAACGCCAGCGTGTTCCGGTCGCTTGTCCCCGCTACCTCTGTTGAAGCAGCCAGCTGACATCCTACCAAGGGGAAGGTTGGCAAGTGCACGCGGGTGGTGGCGGTGGGGGACAGCATGGGTGCGTGAGCCTCCGTGAGCCAGCCAGTAATGCCTAAACCTAGAACATCAAGAAGTGACAGCATTAGCCTGTTGTGTAGTGACGTAGACTGAAAACGCCAAAGAGACAGCTACGAGACCCGGAGGTGGTTACCGCGGGAAGAGGATGGAGGAAGACAATGTAATTATGTGGTGTGATGGAGGCCTTAGCTCACACGGCAGTGGCCATCATGGCGCCACAGGGACGAGCATCAAATCAACAGAAGAGGAAGGGGAGGCGCTGCTTTCTCTTTTAAAAAATACGTCTCGGGCACCTGGGTGGCTCAGCTGGTTGAGTGACTGCCTTCGGCTCAGGTCATGATCCTGGAGTCCCGGGATCGAGTCCCACATCGGGCTCCCTGCTCAGCGGGGAGTCTGCTTCTCCCTCTGACCCTCTTCCCTCTCGTGCTCTCTCTCATTCTCTCTCAAATAAATAAATAAAATCTTTAAAAAAAAAATACGTCTCAGAGAACTGACACTTTAAACTATATGCACATACAATCTTGTTAAAGATAAAAAACAAATGGCAGAAAAGGAAGCAAGCCACTAAGCGAATGAAAAAACCCAGGGCAGTTCTCTAGGAAAAAGCAAAGCTTCCGGGAAGTCGTGTCATCACAACACACGAGCAGTATTTACACTTCACCGTGAGCATTAAATCCTGACTGAATACCATCCCGTGATAGAGGGACCCCGCGGGGACAGTGGGGAGGTGTGCGAGCTGTGTCCCGTGTCTCACGATGCCATCAAGCACGAATGAATCAAGAAAGCTGTGAGAGAGACATAACTTGAACACATGGAGGTAAATCACCAAAAAGGAGAAAGTGCTCACCTTGGCCGAGGGGCCGAGGGCTGAGGCTGGGCTGCCCGTGCTTGGCACAGGCCTTCCGGTAGCTTTTGGCATTTCGAAGTTATGTGCTTATTATTCCCTAGATGAAAATAGACGTTATTCTTTAAAAAATGTAGGCCTCAGAGGACATTAAAGACTGGCTCCCTCTCGGCCTCTCTTCCAGTTCAGCTCTCCCCACTCCCGTGACCACTGGGGAGGCCAACGTGGATGCGCCTGACGGGTGGGGGGTGGGGGCCGCAGCTGCAGGGCCCTAGTGCTTTCCAGAGAACACAGAAAATAAAGGACTTTCTTTCATTGCATTTAGTAATGACAGTAGTTGAACTTGATGCCAGGTAAGGTAACAAACGCTGAAAACACACGTCCTCACTGGGGTCTGCCCCAGCCACCCTGTGGGAGTCCCTTGGGTGGTATGTGTCCCCAGATCGGTGCTCTGACGCCTCTTCACTCCTTCCCCTAATCTGAGTATCTCAAATTAGAAGGACTATGTATACAAAGGAAAATCCTTCACGAGAAAAGGAAATTTTCCTTTGCTTTCTACGTAGTAAGGTGTCTGCTAGTGCAGCACCACGGGGTAGAAGCCATGCTATAAATCTGGGGATCAGGGGACCCTTGAACGCTGCCCTGGCCGGTACAGCACAGGCGCCCAGAGCAGAGGCCTGTCCGTCAGTCCTGGCGGCTGCCGTCCCTCCATGAGCACAGGTCAAACTCACGGGTGCACCGCCAGAACCTCCTGCTCCGTGGAGCGAGGGGGTCTTTTACTCCACTAAATGCACCATCTGTTTAGAGTAGCACACCCACCATGGTGAAACTAAGGTGTGTTGGGGTGTTCAGGAATGTCCTCTAAATAGAAAATAAATTCGTATTTCACAGGGCCTGGGTCCAGACCACGGACCAGGGGTCCAGACGTGACTCGGTTTGTTGCGTGAGTTGCCTGACAAGGGTCATGAACGATCCTCAGGCAGGAGGCTCCGTCCTCCCTCCACGACCCCAGGACGGGACTCACTCTAGGCTCCTGAGAAGTGTCCCCAAATCCACAGCAGGTACCACTGTCTCGCCTGTGAGCCCGACTCTCGTGGGCAACTGGCTGGCTCACTGCTAGCCGCTGCGTCCTACAACACTGTCCTTCTGTTCTGTGGATCCGGCTTTGAGATCAAGGGAGAGGACAGGAAAATGGCCCTGAGCCTACAGCCCGCTCCTCCACAGCAGGCCCCGGAAGGAGCACGGCGCGTGGGTGGGGTGCAGCCGCAATCCCCAGCACTGCCTGCTCGGGGGTCTCTCCTCACAGCCTCTGCAAGTGGGGGGAGAGGGGGGCCAAGGACCTTCCCTGTCCCTCCCCGTAACAAAGCCGAGGAGAACGCTCAACAGAGAAGAGACATCAACAGGCAGCTCTGCAGGGGAGGCCCCGGAGGCCCGGGGCTCTGCGCTCAGCGGCACCCTGCCGCAGCCCTCGTGGGTCCCGCTTCCCGCATCCATGACATGACATGCGAGCACGTACGACTTTCTTTCCTACTTCCCAGTGCTGCCCAGGGCGGTCCACTTGGTTATTTACTTCCTAAACCCAGATATGGTGGAAAAGCAGCAGGTCACCCAGGAGGTAAGGGGACACAGTTTTGGGGGAGCAGGGCCGACGAGGAAGAGTGTGGTGGATTTAACCGTGGCGGTCGTCAGGGGCCTCTAAGGACTAGCTCCTCAGCCAAATCCAGTGCCGGGCGGCGGCTCGGCCATCAGTACGAAAGCAAGCAAGGCACGGGAGAAGAAGGGAGACAGTCAAGTAGAAAGACGTTATCCTTTATAAATAAGCCGTTCGTTTGTGTCAGTATTCACAATAAAAAAATATACATGACTTCCAATAGACCTTCTCTGGCTAAAATACCCACGTGTCCGGGACCGCAGTCTGACTTCACTGTGCGGCCTCTGCCTCTGTACTTTCCTGGGGAGCCCCTTCCCGGGGTCCTGTGTGCACGGTGGGCCCCTCCTCACCAGCCACCAGGACGAGGTCCCCGTCCCCAGGCACTAGGGAACCCGGATGGGGCAAGATCAGCCCATCGGAGGTCTGAATAAATAGCGGTTCTTGTCCCTGAGACGACAACTCGCGGCACCCGTTGGTAATTTCAAAAGCCACGGCTTCACCAACAGCAACAATACTCGCCAGTCCTCGCGGGTCAGCATGGGCCTCGGGCCCGCTGGGGAAGGCGCCCGAGTCCCCCACACAGCTTCCCTGACCCCCATCAGTGGACAGCGACCCCGCCTGGCCCAGCTGAGGCCCCAGCTCCCGCACGGTCCTGTGCGCGCAGTCAGCCGGCACCGTGTCCACGGACAAAACCCTCACCAGCCGAGGGCCTGCATCCTCTGTAAGCGGGATGTGGCTGGGGCTGGTCTGCTGGCCTTTCTGCTGGGAGTCCTGCATCTCGAGGTTTCGAGACCCAGAAGGCGGCAGGGAGTCCTCTCCTCCAGTGGATGTCAAGGTGCTGCAGAGAGCCCGGCTCCTCCGGTTGTCCCCCGAGTTCCAGGCTACAGAGTGTTCCAGAACATTCTCCTCAGGGAATGCTGCCACCTGTCCCTGCGTCCGCGTCCCGGGCTCTCCTGACTGAGGACAAAGGCTCGGCCCACTGACATGCTGATACGAGAAAGCAGGAGCTACAGACCCACTCTTGGCCTCTAAGTCAGCAAGTGCTTTAAGCTGCTGGCCTGCATGCAACACGCTTCTGTCACTCTCAGAAACCGGCATCGTGTGGCTTTCTTCAGAGTGGTGAGCAGTGTTCCCACTTACATGATGGGCACAACCTAAACAGTTCAGAGACACAGGTAAGCATACGTGTACGGTGGTACGGCCTGTTCACTGCACTCTCCATCCCAAACAAGCCAGTCCAAATGAATTTTCTGGCAAAACAAATGGAAACCTAAACTCTCCTTGCTCCTTAGGATTGGCAGCTTCCAAGTATGGAGGAAGCTGCAAGAGGCGGCATGGATTCGTTAGGTGAGGGCAGCTGAGTACCAAACGGGCCAGGGTTCTCCCTGCTCCCACTGGATAAATCTGCCCTCCCCTTCCGCAGAATTCTAAGTTCTAAAATGGAGAATGTCTCTTTCAATTGGAGACCTTAGGATCAAGCGGTTTGGGAAAGTGGTATAATTACTCTTGGTACGCCATATACTCAGTGTCTAGTTGATAGGCTGGCTAGAGCAGAATAAAAACCAGAGTGGGTCTTGTTTCCAATGTTAAATCCCAACTGCACTTGGAGCCAAGTCTCAGGAAAGCCAAGCCACAGGTGTGGTGTGTCCTCGGGACCCTCCTGAAAGCGATCCACTCACCAGCATGCGGTGGCTCTTCATTTCGGTAAGGGATTCGAGAAAGCCTCCCTGACCTCAAGACTCACAGGGAACCAGAGGCAACGACAGAACATGGGCAGGTTGGGATAAAACTCTTGAGAAACCAGGTTCTCTTAGATCTGGCCCCAGGGGCAGCCGCCAGCGGAAAGCAGGCCTCTGACCGCGGGGCGCACACCACAAAGCGCGTTTACCCTCACTGGCGGCTGGGGCGCAGGGGGCAGGCTTCTGCGGGCCTCCGCGGTCGGCAGAAGGCTCAGGGGTGTCCCGGGGCGGGGCGTCTCTTCTGGTCCTCTTCACCCAGGCCAGGCCCTCCTCTGCAGTCTGGGAAGAGGAGACCCAATCAGCTAAGGCTAGGAGGAAGCAGCAAGCTCGCGCTTCTCCTTTCTGGAGAACAGCGTTGTGGGCTGAAGTCAAAGCACGGGGGCTCAGCGGGTCACCCGGCACCCCCTTCGACGCGTGCCCCACCTCGTTTCCCCGCTTCTGCTGGCTGGCTTCGTCCAGCTCGGCCCGGCCCGGCCGCCCGCTGGTGCGCTCGGCTGGGCCGCACTCTGGGTGTGCCTCTGCTTTCCTCAGGAATTCTGTGATTCCCAAAGACTCGGCCACCTGGGGGGAAGGGCGCACAGGGGAACAGCACATCAACACCGGACTTACAGGACCGAGTGCGCCTGGGAAGCCCCGCCGCGTGGCGAGGGGCCCCCTAAACACTGCCAGACACGAAGATGCACGCGAAGTTCAACGGAACAGCTCAGGAGAAAGTGAGTCCTTACAGACCTGGGCACACTGTGCCCAGCAAAGGTCTTATCCAAGGTTCTGTGTTAGCACGACGTAGAAGCACACACCAAGAAGTTTTTTAAATACGCTCTCTTCAGCATCAGTCAGACACCAGAGTGAGGTCTCGCCCATGATTCCTCCTGTTCTGAATGCTCACTGGTACCTTCCTGCCCATTCCAGAACAAGGTCTCCCCTTCCAAGCAGTGCAGAGGGTGAGGATGTGGGGGCCTGAGAGCCGAGCTGGGCCTCGGCTTCTCTGCTCCTGGCCGAGGGGAACTTCCTGATCCTGTGAGGGGGACTGCAGCTGCCCGGGCGGGGGGGTGGGGGTGGATTTGTGAAGACCAGATAAAGGTGACAAGTGACACCTGTCACCTGTGCGTGGACACAGGAAGGGAACACTGCAGAGCAGGAGGGAAAGGGGCAGGGAAGGAGGGGCAGCAGATCGAGGTCGGGGTAGAAGACAGCCCCTCAGGTTCAGCGCCTCCCAACCTGCCTGTGTCCCCTGCAAGCTGAGCCACTGTCTGTGCTCCTAGGAGGCTGTGGCTCAGCCTCAACTGCCTGTAAAGATGGGTCCCCATGGGTGTGCACAGCGTTGTGTGTCCAGTCCGCCTTGTGACAGGATGATGCCCACACCTGTTGAGCTCACAGTCTAAAAAAACATGTAAGTTGGGGCACCTGGGTGGCTCAGTCAGTTGAGTGTCCGACTCTTGATTCTGGCTCAGGTCATGGTCTCTGGGTCACAGTATCGAGCCCTGAGTTGGGCCGCACAGAGTCTGCTTGGGATTCTCTCTCTCCTCTCCCCCTGCCCCACCCCCCTCCCCATGCGCTCTCGCTCTAAAACAAATAAATATTTAAAAACAAAAAACAAACAAAAAAACCATGTAAGTGATTCCTGCCCACAAAGCCATCTGTATGCAGCTTAGAAAAAACCCATTATGGGCGCCTGGGTGGCTCAGTAGGTTGAGCGTCTGCGTTCAGCTCAAGTCATGATCTCAGGGTCCTGGCATCGAGCCCCACATCGGGCTCTCTGCTCAGCAGAGAGCCTGCTTCTCCCTTTCCCTCTCTCTTTCTCAAATAAATAAATGAAGTCTTAAAAAAAAAGAAGAAAAAAACCCATTATATTTCTATAACATGTAATTCAAGAAGATAAAATACAAGTTTATTAGGTAATATTAAATATTGAATTTGTATAAAACTAATGACCAAAAAACCCCCCAAAAGCCAAAACCCCCAAAACCCATGGACTGTTACAGTGTGGTTCAAGACTGCTTGCTACGGAAGTAACGTACCCTCCGTGACGCTAAGGCTAGGAGCAGGCGGGCAGACCCATCACCAGGTTAGTAGACCCTCAAACAGCAGTTAAAGGCAACATGGCCCAAGTATTCCTTATGGTTGTGAACCAGGGCAGTGGCTGCCCCACTCCTGACCTCAAACTTGCTACTTGGGTTCTTCTTTCCAGCTCTTGGCTCAGGCAGAAAAAACCCTGAGGGCAAGGCCTCCCGTGAGGGGAACCGAAACCACCCCCCCACCCCAAGCAACAAGGACTGCCCCGAGCCAGCAAGACCCCTCAGGACCGAGCCCAGGACAATGAGACTGGACCTTCGCTGCCCCTGCACATACCCACCCACCTTCGCCCAACATCCTCCTTACATAAACCTGGAAGGATCTTCAGCACTTGGGAGACGAGACGGTCTTTGAGACGCTAGTCCGTGGTCCTCCCAGTGTCGGCCTCGCTGAAATAAACTCCTTTCTTGTGTCCCCACCACTCACCTCTCTGCCTGTGGATTTTCTCAGCGGTGAGTGGCCGAGCCTGGTGTGTTTGGGACCCCGGCGTGCCAGCTACAGTTGTACGAGTAAACAGGCACATTTAAAGCCATGGCATCACTCGGCGCTCCATTTCAAGGTGGGGCTGAGGGCTGGGGGCGAGGGGGCCTGCCCGGCGGGGACCCCTGAATGAGGAGACCACACAGGGCACACTGTGCCCAGCAAAGGTTTTATCCAAAACAAGAAAGACCACATCAGAACTTACTTTTATCCAAAACCCAATATAGCCAGAGGCAACTGGATGCTGACGATGACAGGGAAATGAGGATTCTGTGAGAACCCCCACAGTCCGTGTCTGTGACCCCGGTCACCCTCACACACACACCCTACCAACTGTGCTGTTCCCTGACGTCAGCAGTGAGAGAGAAGACAATGGTGCTTTCAGTTGCTGTCAGCCTCTGTGCATTCCTGAGGTTCCCCAAACAAGCGCCATTTGCTTTTATAGTTAAAATGTCACGTGACGGGGAAAAAGCGAGCTGAAAAGAAGTTGACTATGAAGATATCACTACCAAAAACATGTTCCTCTGGGGTGCCTGGCCGGCTCAGTAGGTGGAGCGTGCGACTCCTGATCTTGGGGTCGTGAGTTCAAGCCTCACGGTTCTAGATAGAGATTACTTTAAAAAATAACTAAAAATAAAAACATTCTTCTCTTTAAATGGATATCCCTCTTTTGGCAAATGTAAAAGCAGAACTTTTTCCTATGTGAGACTGTTACCTTATTGTTGCTTATTTCCAGAGGCTCCTGGGAACACAGACCAGAACCACTGAGGTAATCTTGACACATTTTCTTAACCATTTTATGCAACTCTTCAAATTCCTTATACACAGCTGGGAACAAAGGTTTTGCTAGATGACCTGTTTCAACCTTCGTGAAGATAAAGATGACAAGAGAGGTTTAAACCAGAGGCAATGAAATGGCAACTACAGAAGGAAGCTTCGAGGAGGGAAGGATACAAGCTCCTCAAGCTGTCGGCGGCCCGTCATTTCCTCCACTCCCCGGTCACTCCCCGGTCAAAGCCCGTGGGTGCCCAGCACTGTGCTCAGCAGCAACACCAGGACGGGCCAGAGAGCACACCTCCCGGGGGACGGCACCAGGGGGGCTGTGAGTCAGAGTGCCCAAGGAGGCGTGGTGGGGGGGGGGCAGGAAGGGACCAGAGAGGCCCTGGGGACGGGCCTGCAGGCGGGAGGAGCGCCTCACTCCTCTGGGCAGCTCTGCTGGTGCCTCCTGCATAGTCAGGGCAGGCTCACCAGGACGGAGAGCCTCGTCACCAGGCCGACGAGGGCAGGGAGAAAGGCAAGGGCCCTGGGCTGGCCATGGTTGGCCGCCACCACTTTCTTGTCTCGCACACCGCGTTACAAGAGGCAGGGGAGGCAGAGGCCCCGAGGCCAGGTGTCCTGGGGGTTTGGGGGGAGCGGACAGCAGGCTCGCTTCGGCTCTGTCCTGGGGGAGGGAAATGATTCCAGACAGCCTGGCTTTTCTAAAATAAATGTGAAGGATGTCTTTCTAAGTAACTTCAAATCAGCCCTCCATCATTTAGAATCGCTAAGATGACTCACCTTCATCAGCAGAAACTCGTACACGGTCACAACCTGAGCCAGCTGAGGCAGCGCCAACTCCACTAGAGCGTCTCGGTCACACTGGTGCAGAAACTACCGGAAGAAAGCATTTGACAGCTTTGAAAGCCCTGAAAGAATCTCCCAGGAGCCAACAAGTTGGTGCAACAAAGAACATAAAAGTTCCCCCAAATCTCAGTGATGAAGCAACTCCCAACTAGAAACATCCTGCGTATTAAATATCTCACTTGTCTATCCATTGACGAAGTCTATGATCAACTCTGGATTCAAAGTCTGACTCCCCTGTGACCGCACTGAGCAGGTAGTGCGGTCCAGGCCCTGGGGCCGGAAATGTGTTCCCTACTCTCCGGGGACACAAAAAAGCAAGCAAGTCCCAGGCAGCCTGCAGTCTGGAGACCACCGCCAAAGGACAGGCCGGGGAAGACGAGGACCCAGGTGAATGCAGGGGTGGCTCGGTGGGGGCGTGGGGAGGGAGAGATGCGGGGAGGGCAAGGTCCTTGGGTTAAGGGGAGGAGTCAGGGAAGGGGCAGGGGAGTCAGGAATGACTCTGGGTTCCCAGCTCGAGCCCAGGCAGACCCTGGACAAGTTAGGGGTGGGGTGGTTTACAGGATGCCCGGGTGGGGACGTCTGGAATCAGAGCTCGGGGGCTCAGGAGATGTGAGTAGGGCGAACCGGCAGTACGCGGGTGTCCACAGAGGGCAGGTGGCTGGGACACCAGGAGGATGGAGGGGGGCACCGGGCGAGGCAATGGCGTGGGAGGGAAGGGAGCAGCCTCAGAGACAGGAAGTGTTAGGGGCTTGGGAGCTCGCGAACCTGTCAGGTTCCTCATCTATTAAGCAGAGATGATGAAGGAAACCTGGAACTCAGCACGGAGGCTGGGTTAGGGTGGCTGAGTTGGCACGCAGAGGGGGCGCTCAGTAGATGGTGGCATTTTGAATGTTAATGGATGAATCGAGTCAAGGACTACCTTATCCCCCACTCGAAAAAGTTAGTCATCCAGGATTAATTAACCAGCCCAGTGAGAGAAAAGCAAATTCGCCAGGGTTTTAATTTCCCACTAGAGCATGCAAGCTCACAAAGTTTTCTAGGAAACCCATTTCCTCTCTGAAAACCTCTCGTTTCCCCTTGTGGGTGAGTCTGGAGGCCCCGGTTCCCTGATGGGCACCCTGACGCCCACTGTCTCACTAACTCGCTACCTCTAACTCTCTCTGCTACCCTTCACTTCTTTTCTTTTTTAATTTAATTTACACATTTAAATTCATTTATCAAGTTTTTTTTAAAACTTGAAGATCAGCTGTGTGTCACTTCTTTTCCTTAAGATACTCACCTGGTCATTACCATCATCCTAGCCAAAGGCAATCTGGATGAATTTAGGGTTCTGCTTTTCTAAATCAACCCCATTAAATTCACTAAGTCTACTCCCAACGGACTGGGATGGAGATTCCAGGGTTCAAAACCTGAAACATGTTCCTCTGCCTTAAAACTTTTCACAGAAAAATAGGAACCATTTCTGTTGTTTTCTAAACTGCTTCTAAGAAAACATGGGTCATAATCATTCCACAACTTACAAAGGCAAGCAGCTCCTGCTATACCTAAAGCTCTCTTGTCGTTTCAGACAAGGAAAGCTCGGAATTACTTCAGATAATACTATCCCTGAATTCATTACACACTTCATCCAATTACATTTCAGGTGAACTGCTTAGTTGATCTGGGTATTTGACTTTTATTTCAGAAACCTAATAGTGAATTGTCACACATCACGCCAAAGACACAGGTTTCAAGAACAGGGTCTCAGAGCCACGCACCTCCTTGAGCCTGGCTCTAGCCCTCGAAGGGCTCTGCGCGCCTGCCGCACGGGCACCCCCAGGCGGGTGAGCCGCTCCGCTCCGCCCCAGGACGGCTGTGCTGGCCTCCGCCGGGGCTGTGGACGAGTCACTCCTTCTAGGGCCTGGGTGTCCCTCTGATCCCAAAAGGGCTGAATAACTTCCGTTTTCTAGTTCGGATACCAAGGCCTCTTCAACTTCTAGAGACTGGCTATTCTAGATAGCGTCACGCACCCAAAACGAAAATAAAATAAAGTTTTATACGCCATGGTGATGATCTTAGGGCAAAAAAATGTTGAGTCAAGCGCAAGGAACTTGCCAAATTATTTCTTCTGTGCATTATCAAGATGCATTAACTGTAATCAACTTTAACTTTCCCAACGAAGTTCCCCTTTAAGACATCCAGTGAGTATTAGTGAGCCAGTAAGGCCCGGCTGATAAATCATGACCCTGGGTGTTGCCCAAAATGAAACAAGGAACCTCTCTGACATCACTGGCATCTTACAAATTAAACTGAAATTACCCATGGCTTTAAAAAATCATTTCTTATTGGATGTATTTCAAACACTATAAACTTCATACTTTGAAAATATACAGTTCAGTCGATTTTCGTACACCGAGAAGGTCGGGTAACCATCACCACTAATCCCAAAACGTATTTGTCCCCACCCCCACCCCCGAAGGACCCCCATACCCGTTGGCATCATTCATTCTTCCCTGCCCGCAGGCCCCAGGAGCTGTGAATCTACTCTCCGTCCTCATGGATTTGCACAGCTTTTGAAGAGTCCTGGGTCTGACACTGCCCAGCTATTTCCTCATTCCGCACCCACCCCCCCTCTGAAAACGGGAGTAATCCACCTCCATCTCCCAGGACTGATGGAACGTTAAATGAATACAAGGAACACACTTCACATGGCAGCTAGCCCCAAGTGTGTCCTCTGAACTCTTACAGAATTTCCCCTCTAAATCTTCATTACAGTGGAGCTCCAGGAGGAATGCCAGGTCTGTCTGTGGCTTTAGGTGCCATGAGTCTGCTCCTGGGAAAGGACGGGAGCGACACACGCCTTCATGTCCCTCCCCACCCCAGCAGCTGGAGGCACCCCTCACAGGCAATCCGGACAGCCACCACGCCCAAGGCCAAGGGCCCGTATTCAGGAAGTCAAGTATCTACAAATTGCTTCTGCTGTGGTGTAGGATTTCATTACTTTTTTTTTTTTAATTTGTTCTAGAGATAGAGAGAGCGCACAGCAGGGGGAGGAGCAGAGAGAGAGGGACAAACAGACTCCCCGCTGAGCACAGAGCCTGACGCGGGGCTTGATCCTACGACCCTGAGATCATGACCTGAGCTGAAACCAAGAGTCAGACGCTTAACTGACTGAGCCACCCAGGTGCCCCTAGGATTTCATTATGAAGGAAATCAGAAGTGCCGGCTAGCCTGGTCATCCTGAGACAGTCCTGGGCACAGCTGTTGTCCCTTGGGATTATTAATAGTGCCCCCTTCTCTGAATATCCTGCTTTGGATGATAAACTACATGTCACCCTGGTCCTACCTCAACTGAAATAGAGAGGTTTCTCAAAAGTTGGGGTTTTACCAGCCACGAGAGGTGCAGAACCTCCCCCAACGAGGCAGCCTCGAGGGTGGGCTTTGAAGTCAAAACACCGAAGTCTAATTCTCACCTGGCAGAGTCCTAGAAGATTGAAAACACTCCTGCCCAAAGGCGGCATGAATAAACAGTACTGTGATCGAAACTAATGTGACAGGGGGAGGTAGTACTTTTGAATCCTAACACAGGGCTGTCCCCTAGTTCTACCACTAGGTCTCAGGAAGGATGTCCTGGGCCCACACTGTACCTGCTCAGGCCCCAAGGAGCTGATCCACAAGCCGGAGCGGCCACCAGCCTCACCCCTCCTTCAGGAACCCCTGCCCCACAACAGGGAATGAGGCGGCCAGAGCAGACAGGCACTCATTTCCAACATCATCCAGGTCACTGAAATCACAAACTCCCACTGACTAGCCACATCGATCCAACGCTGGTTTCTCTAACATTTCAGAAACTGCAAATATAATCGCCTAGCCGCAAGCAGACAGAAATAACAGCCAACACAAGTCGAAGGAAAAGAAAGAAGGGAGGTTCTAGCGACGCGGGTGAGGGTGACCACAGAGGCCTTGTTAAAGGGATCCGTCTCGTCTGCATTTCTTTTTTTTCTTTTTTTTTAAATGATTTTATTTATTTGACAGAGAGAGACACAGCAAGAGAGGGAACACAAGCAGGGGGAGTGGGAGAGGGAGAAGCAGGCTTCCCGCCGAGCAGGGAGCCCGATGCGGGGCTCGATCCCAGGACCCTGGGACCATGACCTGAGCTGAAGGCAGACGCTTAACGACTGAGCCACCCAGGCACCCCTCGTCTGCATTTCGTGAATAACTGACCTCTTGTACACGGCACACAAATGCACACCACACATTTAGGAATGTGAAATTGCTGTCAGTAAATTCTGATGTGGTGATGCAACTCAGGGTGGCTTCTGTCTGCCTTGTCTGATTGTGAGTTTCTGAAGGGACAAAACGCGAAAGCAGTGTGTTACTGCTCACCCTCCAGGAAGCGCCCTTGTGGGCCGTTGCGCCCAACTCAGACCTTTCCCAAGGCCCGCTGTTATGTCAGCATCAGCCAGGAGTGCTCTGCGATTAGTTTTACCCACCAAATCTAAAGAATTAGCAACCCTCTTCCCATCCAACACGCTCAGAGAACCCTACGACACACACCACACACAGGACCCACCTGTCCTTGCTTGTTGGCAGCAGTGCGGACAACAGCGGGGGAGTGTCAGATGCCCTGTTCTGGTCATCTTGGCTCTACGCGAGCCTTCCCCCGAACCCCCATCAGATACCACAGAGGTTCGCTTCAGGGTGGGCAGGAAGAAGGCCACAGTCAGCACACAGAAACATTACCTGCAGGCCAGCCCGCGGAGACTGGGCCCTGTGCTCACGTAGAAGGGCTGGTGTGGACGGCCCCGGTGACGTCAGGCTAGCAGTCCTGCCCTCCGCGCAGCCTCGAGTCGCGCTCCCGTTGGCTTTCTCAGACAGCAACTCTTCAGGCTCCAGCTGGCCGTGGCCTGGATTCAGTTTAAGATGCCTGGCCAGGCCCCCCTTCCCAATGTAGGATTTTTCACACGTCTGACACTTAAAACTCTTGGGCCTCAGGGAGCAGCTGGACAAGTCAAAGAGCACCTGCTTTTCCCTCTGTTCTTCATCTTCTTCCACACTCAGTTCTGAGTAATCGTCAGAATCTGACAAGTGACCGTCAGCCAAATCCTCCGTTTTTATGAATTTATAATCTTTAGCTTTATACTTGGGAGGTCGAGATATCCGTCCAGAACGTGTTTTCACTTTTAAGGACTTTTTTAGTTTCTCAGTGTGTTTTGTGTGCAAGCTGGAAATAAATAAATTTGCTGAACTGGATGACACAGATGTTGCTGCTGGTGGGTGAGAAGCTGACAAGGGGACCAGCGGGGCACCCTGTCCATTTGGAGCCAGGGGCTGGAGGGCAGGCAGGGGCCCCTGCACAAACACCTGAATGGGGGATGAGCTGCTCAGGAAGCGCGGCTGGGGCCCGGTGCTCAGCACGGGCTGCACCCGGAACCCCATCACCCTGGAAGGCCTCGCGGGCAGCTGGCTCAGCCTGGCTGGCTTGGGCTGGATGGTGGCCAGTGGGGGCACTGGCCTTTGCTGACCTTTCATTTCTCCAGATGTTACCTTGACACATATGGCTTCCAGTTGCTTAAATACAGAAAGAGAAAAGCATTAGGCTCATCAGCATTTCTACAATTCTGCTCTCATCTTAAATGTATTATTGAAATTGTTTCTAAGTTATAAAATACATTTTACCTATAAAAGTCTATTTAATGGATCCATACTGCTTACAAAGGTGTTTCATACCAGACCTTTACATCGCATCCATATGTGCACGCAGAAACATCTGCATACATAAATTAAAGTTCCACGAAATTACTTACCATTTCTACATAAATGCCTTCTGAGAGTATCTATTCCATATCATTTTTGAAAAAATACTAATCTTAATCCACTAAATTGACTTCATGACCCAATAAGAAATATCCTTCTTTACAGTTTTACCACATTTGTATTTACTTGAAGTTCCTAGTACTCTAAATTGGATTCAATAAATAGGCTCATTTTCTTGAAAAAATGAAATTCTAGAAACAAAAAAAAAAACCATAAGGAGCAATGCAACACAGGTTCCTACCACCTGCCTCAAGGCATGCAACATCACCTTTCTAAGCTCTCTTCTATCCTCCCAATCTGCGCGCTCTCTTCCTTCTTCACCCTAGACTGAAAGTTTATTGATCGTTCTCATGCATTTTTTGGAAGATTTATTTATTTGAGAGAGGAAGAGGGAGAGAGCGAGCATACCCAGTGGGGAGGGGCAAAGGGAGACGAGAGGGAGAATCTCGAGCAGATTCCCCGCTGAGCATGGAGCCCGACACGGGGCTCGATCCCACAACCCCCAGATCGTGACCTGCGCTGAAATCAAGAGACAGATTCAACCGAGCCACCCAGGCACCCCTCTCATGCATTTTTTATATTACATATGTAGATATCCCTAAAAATACGCAGTTCAGTTTTGTCATGTTTTTCAACTTCATGTAAGTGAATATCATCTCCTGCAACTTGGTGGGGCTTTTTCAGGTTTTTTACTCCCTATCTGGCTTGTGAAATTCATCCATATCAAGGTGTACAGCTCTCATTTACTCTGCAGTAAGAAAACACTCTCCTGTTGATGGACAAGTGTCTCCAACCCTGTGCTCCTATGGTGTGCTCAGAACCTTCATGGACGTGTGTGCATATGTGTGAGTTCCTCCAGGACACATACCTAGGAGTGGGGTGCTTACCTTCAACAACTTTTTAACATCTAGCAAAATCTTAGGGGAGCCAGGGTGGCTCAGTCAGTTGAGCATCTGACACTTCATTTCAGCTCCGGTTGTGATCTCAGCGTTATGGCATCGAGCTCACTGGGCTCCACGCTCAGTGGGCAGTCTGCTTCAGAGTCTCTCTCCCTCTCCCTCTGCCCCTCCTCCCACTTGTGTGCGCTCTCTAAAATAAATAAATAAATCTTAAAAAAATTTTTAATGCACACGCTTTTTGACACAGCAACTCCGCTTCCTGGATTCCATAAGAAACATAGGCACAAAGATGTAGGTCTAGGAGGTACACGACAGCACGGTCTGTGATAGCAAAGTGCCCACCAGACGGGAGGGCTGCCATCAACAATGTTCCACAGGTCGTTACTGAGCAGCGACCGTGTGCCAGAGACAGTGGTAGAGGTGTTAGAGATGTAATGGTCATGGGTTCGGGGGAGAGGCAGCAAAACGGACATGACTCAGGACCTCACAGTGCAGAAATAATCAGCATCTTTGTCCGACCTCATCACCCGGAACAGGCTTCCCGAACCTTGGCACAACGGACATTTCAGACCACTAATTCTGTGTTGCAGCGGCCGTCCTGTGCACTGGAGGATGCTGACAGCATCCTTGCCTCTACCCACTAGATGCCAGTGGCAGCCCCCAACTTGGGACAAAAATGTCCCCTGCCAAACGCCTCCCTAGGGGAAAGTCGCCCCCTGGTTGAGAACTGCTGATTTGGGGCCATCAACGGCTCTGTTTGGACTCGACCCTATACCGTGTGGAGGGTCAATAAAAAAGTCACACAGGGCAGAGCGACACCTCTCGCTGAAATCAGGCTGGAGGGGTGCCTGGGTGGCTCAGTCGGTTAAGCGGCTGCCTTCGGCTCAGGTCATGATCCCAAGATCCTGGGATCGAGCCCCGCATCGGGCTCCCTGCTCGGCGGGAAGCCTGCTTCTCCCTCTCCCACTCCCCCTGCTTGTGTTCTCTCTCTCGCTGTGTCTCTCTCTGTGAAATAAATAAAAATCTTTAAAAAAGAAATCAAGCTGGAGTCCGCCTGTCTGTCTCCATGTGATACATCTACCACAAACAGCAGAGATGATTCAATGTACTAGTTTATGAGGCCACGTACAGAGCTGGAGCCAGGGGCCCACGAGGGCCAGTCCTGGGGTACTTGTGAATGGAATGACAATGATCTTTTAAATAATCACAGCTGTTTCACATTATGACCATTTAGAATGTCTAACCTCTTGGGATATCACCAGATAATGCCAATACACCCCCCCCAATCCTACTGTTTTAAGGGTACCTCGATGGCAAAACTGGTCTAATTTTTATTTTTTTTTAAGATTTTATTTATTCATTTGAGAGAGAGAATGAGAGACAGAGAGCACGAGAGGGAAGAGGGTCAGAGGGAGAGGCGGACTCCCCGCTGAGCAGGGAGCCCAGCGCAGGACCCGATCCCGGGACTCCAGGATCATGACCTGAGCCGAAGGCAGCCACTCAACCAACCGAGCCACCCAGGCGCCCTAAACTGGTCTAATTTTTAAATCAGCTCCAGACCAGTTTACCTTGTGGATGTTCTACTTGATACTTTGTTATATATTTATTTTACTCAGCAAACTGTTACTAAGTATCTCTGTGTACCAATACTTACACATAAGCCAATGTGGGTGAGGAGGCGGGTGACACAGGTAAAGGGGATTAAGAGATACACACCTGCAGTTATAAAATAAGTCATGGAGGTGAAAAGTACAACACAGGGAATATGGTCAATAATACTGTAATACGTTGACGTTGTACGGTGACAGTGACTACACTTGGGGTAAGCCCTGAATAACGTACAAACTTGTGGAATCGCTGTTGTACACCTGAAACTAATATGACATTGTATGTCAACTATACTTCAATTGAAACAAACAAACAAACACAGAAAACATAAGCCACATCCTAGCCTCACCCTTGAGGAGGTGGGTGGCTTCCCCCGCCATGCCTCAGTCACCTGCAGACCTGCTGAATCAGGATCTCCTGCCCCGAAATCTGTACTTTCAAAAGCTCCATTGACGATTCGGAAGGCTGACTAGGCTCCCTAAGGACACAATGACACCACAGTGCCGACAGGTGCAGTAAGAGAGGCGGCCTTGTGGGTGGGGTGGGGGAGGGACTGGCTTCCCAGGGGAGGGGACCTAAGAAGGCTGAAGAGAATTTTGGCCAAGTGGAACAGGTAGACTAGGTGTAAGGAAAACATGTGTGAATGCATAGGCGCATGAAAAAGGGCGAGGCACGTTGGAAGGAACTGGGAATGTTTCTATGGAACGGGAACAGGGAGGACGGGGAGAGACATGAGCCAAAATCTGACCCACGGGAGCGCATTCACTTGGTCTGTGCCTTCTGACCCCCCCCCCCACACACACACAGAGAACCACAAGGCCTGGGTTCTCTAAATGCACATTCCACCCCACCCCACTACCTGTCCCCTTCCATATTTTCAACTGGGACTCATCCTTCCACAAAGTAATTTCTGATCCCTTCAGCCAGAAATAACTTCTCCCTTTATCTCTTTAGATCCAGTTCTCCATCTCTAGTTGTCTGACCTTGCTTAGAAGTTACCTGAGGCATGTTTTACCTCATTGGTTAGATCATAACCTCCTTGGGTGCAAGGTACATATCTGGTTTGCTTTTGTGGCTTCCCTGGCACAGCTGGGGCTCAAAGGGTATCAGCTGACTAGACAGCAAAATTACACTATTGCGAAGCCAGGGAGAATTTATGCCATCCCAATCAGATTAGCTACAGGATACAATCATGCTGCTTCATTCTGATTAAGTGTGCTTGCATTTTAGGGAAAATGTCATTTTTGGACTCTTTAAGTTGCCATACCAAACCCAAAAAGCTGGGGTCACATTCAACAGGTGCTGGAGCGCAGCCACACCTGGGGAGCCCTGAGCAAAGTCACTCAACCTCCCTGAGCTTGTTCCTCATCTGGAGAATGCTGATACAAACACTTTCATGAGCCTGCTGAGAAGTGGACTGGCACAGTGCCAGGCATGGGGCAGAGGCTCTGCAGACAGTGGCCACCACCACCCTCCTCCTCCAGACTTGCTTGTGCCACATATGCAGGCGACATTTGCTTCTTCGCAGAGTATGAGCTAGAAGGCTCATCCAACGAGCCATCCCTCTTGCGAATAAAGGAACCAAAGCCCAGGGAGGTTGGGTTACTCAGGGTCACACCTCTAGGAAACAGTTCGGGCAGAATCGCAACTGTCTTCTCCAACATTAGCAAGACACCTCTCCAGTCTTGATCACCAACTGGGTACAACTCTAAGCAACCAAAATCACTCCCTGAATAAAACAAAAACGAAGACTGCTAATAACAACAACAACACCAACAGACACTGTTGATTCTATTCTCCATCTATTTATTCTAAGAAGCAGCATCTCTCCGGCAACTTTGGGGGGAGAAGTGTCAGTGTCATTTGCAACCCCAGCTCTGAAAGGGGATGTGGCTTTACAGATGATCTGACGGACCTCTGGCTTCAGGAGCTACACGGGACCCTCTGGGCTTGGAAGACCACGCTCTAGTTCCAACTTCCCTAGCAGCCAAGAGCTGTGTGACCCGTGAAATAATGACACTGAGAAATGGTATTTTGTAGTATACTGAGTGCTTTCACGTATTTCCTTCATTAAGTGTATGTCAGGCTCTGTGCTGGGCACTGGGGTTCCAAATCCAGGCACTACCACCCAGGCTGGTAAGTCCTGCATCCAACTAGGCTGGTGTGCTTAACTCTGTCCCAAGTCCCTGCCTTGGCACTCGCTGCACCTTCCACGGGAAAAGCTCTGCAGGCTGGTTCCGTTTAATGCATTCAGGTCTCCGCTCCAGTGTCAGGCCGAAGGACCACTCATTCTAAAGCAGCCCCCTTGTCACTCCCAGAACCTCCCTCAGGTCCCTCACTGACTGTTCAAGGCTGCACCTGCGGCACCTAGGGCAGTGCTTGGAACACAGCGAGGGCTCCGCAAACGCGGGATGAATGACAAAGGCCTGGGAGAGGAGCCCGGCGGCACCGAGGCGCCCCGAGCCGCGCGGCGAAAGCGGGCGGGGTCCCAGGCAGGGGGGCCCACGAGGTGCGCTGGAGGAGCTGCAAACGCAGGAGCGGTGACCGGCGGGGCGGACGCCGCCTCTCCTGCCCGCCAGCTCCGAGGCCGAAGAGGGGGTGCCGGGACGCGGGCCCCGGTCCGCCCGCCGCAAGGCCTCGGCCCCCTCCGGGCCTGTTTCCCCATGTCCCTCCCGGCGCCTCACCTGGGGCGGCAGCAGGCGCGGCGGGCGCGGGGGCTCGGCGCCGGGGCCCTGCTGCAAGGCGGCCTGCTGCGCCGCGTCCCGCAGCCGCCGCGCCGCGTCCTGCAGCACGAAGGGCGGCGGCGGCGGCTCGGCGGGCGGCTGCGCCTTCGTCACCTGCTCCAGGACCTGCCGCAGCTGCTCGGGGCCCAGCGGGGCCACGCGCGCGGCGGTGCCGCTCTGGCCGGGGGGGGCCCGGGCGCCGCCACCGCCATCCTCGCTGCCATCCTCAGCCTCCGGCTCCGCGTCCGCCATGGCAGCCGACACCGGGACTCGAACCCGCGCCACCGAGAGACGGCGGCTCAAATGTGCGTCACCTGGGGAGGGGGGGGGGGGGGGGGGGACTACGAGTGCCCCGCAGGCCAAGACACCTCGGAAGGCGACCGCACCTGGGCGAGCAGGTCGTGGGCGAAGTCTGCGTTGGCCCTGCCCCATCGCTTTTTCGCTGAAGTCGGAATGAGCTTTAGTTTCCTCTCACTCGTCACAGATGTATTTAACTTTCCAAATACCACTCTTCCAGGAGCTATCCCGGGTCTCCCAGACGAAGGTCTCCGGAGTTCCAGAGCCCCTTAGCCTAGCATCACACTATCCAAAAGTTCTCAAGGTCATGTGCATTAGAGCCACCGAAAGATCCTGTCTGGTCCTACCTTAAGGCCTTCTGATAAATAGTTCTGGCAGGGGACCCTAAGTGTGCTTTTTTATTAAAAAAAAAATTTATATATATATATATATAATGAGTTTTTTTAATTTTTTTTTAGTAGGCTCCATGCCCAACGTGGGACTTGAACTCAGGACTCTGAGATCAAGAGTCACGTGCTCCACCAACTGGCCAGGTGCCCCCAAAGTGTGCATTTTTTTAAGGAGCGTAGGGGCCGAGGGAGCGGGAGAGAGAGAATCCCAAGTGGGCTCTATCCCACCACCCAGATCACGACCTGAGCAGAAATCAAGTCTGCTGCCTGGAGGGACTGAGCCACCCAAGGGCCCCCACAAAGTGTGCATTTTTAACTAGTGCACCCAACCCCAAATTGTTCCCAGGTCTACCCTCTCATCCACACTGGACGCACCTTAAGGGCCAAGATGATATTTTACTCAGTGCTCAGCACAGGGCCCGGCCCAGAGCACAAGATTAGGGAATGAATGATGCATGGAAAATACAAAGGATGGAGGGAAGGAAGGAAGGAAGGAGGGAAAGGAAGGTCCCCACCCCTCTCCACATTTCAGTGCCCTCCGCCCCAGCTCTATCACTTCCTCTTCAGCCCAACCTTTCCCAATCTCCCCTCCTCTTTACTCTCCTGGCTCTGTGTATCCTTCCCACAGAGTCTGGCAGCTGCTGGTGTGGGCTCCTTTCCCGTCTCCCCTCCCCAGGGAAGGCAGTAGGGCCATGGGTTGACAAACAGTTATTAAGTACCTGCTGGGTGAGTCCCCTTCCCCGCCTTCAGGGCTGTTCTGCCCTCTGTATTCAGTGTAGGCAGGAAGAGGGGGAGGAAACTGG